ATCATTAGGTGCTCCGTTAGGCTCCAGCAGCAGTTCTTTTTCACTCACATGTTCCTGTGATTTAAGTTTTTGCCTTACTCATCTTCATACCTGGCCCCAGGAAGGGAATGCCTCACACTGCATTGGTGGAGTTCGTGTCTCAGTGGTAACCTCTGCCTCATAGCTGAAGGGCGCTCATTTATAGAGTTGTGCTTGCTGCCTCTGTCTCAGGTTGGGACCTTTGCTAAATTGGGCTGTTTCAGCACAAGTGGATAAGAACATCTCCATCCCCTTATCTCCACTGCTTATCTAGCAGGGCTCATAGGTCTCACATGAATGCACTGTCCATTGGGGTATCATCACTGCCTTCTCCCCTTCTTGCGATATTTTGATAGAAGAAACTGACTCCCCCCGCTCTATGAAAGAAAAGTCTAACTTATATAACTCCCTGTGAGCGTGCAGAGTTGTGAGTCCACAGTGCAAAAAGGTGATTTGTTACAGGCCAAAGTAAGATATGTAAAATTGGAGAGGGTTAGGATTTGACAGACACCCTTCCCTTCAGCATCTAATTCTCTTGGGCCAATTGACACCAAGTCCCATTAGAACATGGGTTTTTGCTTTTCACTACAACTTTACTATAATCTCAGGCTTGATCTCAGACTTTTGCTGAAGCTCTCAGGTGCCTGCCTATACTATCTACATATCACTAACATGCTGGCCGTTATCCAGAATGAGCCATTTGTCTCTCCAGGCATGAAAGCTCAAGCACAAAAGTACTAGTTCAAGTGTCTGAATCTTTAGCAAGTCTAGATACAATTGGTTTAATCCATTTGGCTCCATGAACCTAAAAACTTGAGCACAGCTATATTTTCCACCTGTAAAATGTGAGTGTTTGCACTCCTTTACCCTATAGCGAAGCTATCAAGATAAATACATGAAACAATTCTGGAGCATTTCTGGAAACCATGCAACTACTTCAGAAGGGATATAAGCCTCTCCAGGCGCTGTATATTCTAGCACACAGTGTTCTCCAGCCCTGAGGCCAGCTGGCATGTAAGACTGTCATCCACATGGATAAACTCTCCTACTCTCCAGATCAGGGCAGCTTTCTCCAAGTTGTGTATTGGTAGCAGTCCCTGGCTTTTGCTAATCATCAAATCATGCACAAACATAGTCTATACTGCATGATCTAAGCTGAAATCAAGCAAGGGACTACATTTACATGTTAACATTGTGAAGGTTTTCAGGGCAGAGCTCACGTCTGCACTGTGGCTGTTTAGTTTGTTATCATCTCAGTCGTACGCGCAGGGTCTATAAAGGGAAGACAAGGTGAATAAGCTCTACTGCATTGTAAATGTAGGGAAGAAAGTGAGAAGAATGCCATTTATACTGCAAGAGACCCACCAGTTTTGTACTTTGTATCTGGTGTGAGAATGCGTGATGTATTCTGCATATTGTACTATTGTTTTAGATACCCTATAATAAAATACAAAAGGCATCCAATATTTCCTTCTTCGGTTGAAGAACATATTTTCTAACTTGCACCTTTGTTTTAAAAATGCAGTATAAAACAGTAGGAGTAGTTCAGAAACACTAGGATAATTCCCAGGTTGTCAGGGTTACCTGATTTATTTATGGATCTACTTAAAATTGCTAATGGCTATCTCAATGTAGAGTTGATGCCTCTTGGATAAACAGAGTTTGGATCAATTAGAGAACAAGGTGTCCATTGCATTTACAAGGAGGAAATTTATCTGAATTCAAAGAATTTGGTTTCTTGGGATTTTGAATAATTAGGTGATCCTGTAGTGAAACAGAATAAAATTTGCATAGCTAAAGCTGTATAAACATGCTTCATTTTTCTTGGGTTGCAAGATATTTCAAGGCAAAAAATAATAATAAAAAATTGAACTGTGATGAATTTTGCAGTGTTACAGCACAGGGCCACTGAATGAACTGTGTTTGTCAAAGGAATCAAAGATAATGAAGTTGTTATCTTGGCCTTAACTTTCCCAACTCAACATTGTGAGGTGATTTCACTATATCTTGGTTTCCTCACCTTCAAAATGCACATTTTATTTCTCTATGAGCTATCACTGCTTAACTATTTCTGTTTATGAAAAACAACACTTTTCAGTTCAGTAAAAAATATCTTTTGACCTGAATAGATTAGAATCCGGCCCTGTTCCAAAAGTTACTGATTCACAGATCACCCATCTGAAGGCTTCATTGCCCAAGAGTCCTTACGTGCCTATAGGAAAAAATGTAGTTACTTACAAACTAAACATTTTCCTGTTGAACATGCTCAAAGTCACTGTTCCAGAAAAGCTGAACTTTTCTGAAACAGTGAGGCTGTCTAACTGATCTCATGCCTAAGCTTATGAAGGGTTCAAAAAATGAGGCATGTTAGTGATGAAGAGAAAAACCTTGATGCGAATCTTAAGTACTGAAATCAGCACAAGGTGATGGGAATGCTTAAATAAGGGAAGTCGCATCTTCGTGAAATGAGCACACCAGAATGCATGCTGCATAACCAACAGCATTGGTCTGTGTTTTCTTTTTCTCATAGAAATCATATTATTCTACATTTTGGCGTGTCTACACTGCTGGCTATGCAGCATCAGTGACTTCACTCATTACAGCTCTAATTGTCTTTGCTGCCTTCAGGTAAAAACTTGGTCTCTTTTCAGGATGTCTCAAGACAGCCTCATACTTATTCCTTTCAAGCCCTCTGGTGTTTTTTTTGTTTGTTTGTTTGTTTGTTTTTCCTTTTTTGTTATTATGATTTTCAAACCCTTCTGAGACATTGCATTCGGTTAATGGCAATGGGTTCTTCTCTGCTCGTGCTGCGGCATTTCCCTTCAGATGCTAAAATAATAAAGCTGACTGGGCAATCTATCCATGCAGGATAAATGCCCCAGGCTGTTATCACTATTAACATAAGGTAACTGCTCTTCCAGTGCTTAGCAGGGACATACTCTGCAGAAACTCAGTATGTCTCACGCCTTGAACCTGTAGTCATTCTAAATTGTCCATTCCTTCTGTAAAAGACCATGTCTTCCATAAACGGGAGCTATGGAAGAGGTTTAAAGAAATTTCAACATCATGTTCGATAACTCTGGTTATTAGGAAATAGAGTTTATTTTTATTGGCTCCAACGCAATTGAAGAAAAGCCCTAAACTTTCTCTATAGCTGAGAGCGCAGAGTGCAGAAACAGCTTCCTAGGAGGCATGTATTGACAGTCTCAGAGGTCATCTCTACAGAGGGGCCCAGGACCAGGAGGCTGATCAGTCCAGACCTTGAAGGAGATTCCTTCAGGACAAATCCAAACTGTGAGGACAGGGCAGTCTAGGGAAAGGCAGTTACTCCTCTGGCAGCCACCCCATGCAACTCGCATCCATTCAACACTCTGTTCTGCTCTAGCTGGAAAGGGGTTGAAGAGCGTGTTGTGGGCTTTTTTAACAAAAATTGCTATTTAGGATAATTAAAAGGTGTTATTGCAATGCAGTCCAAGAGAGTCAGAGTTACTGCCTGCTGTTGATAACTCCTTCAAATGTGTGGTGATTCAAGGAGAACTATATTAGCACTTTTATTAGCCTAAACACATCATAATTGCTCTGCTCCCTTGTGCCTAGCTCCCTCTTAAATAGTAACAGATCATATATTTGGTTTGGAAAGTCTGAAGTCACTGCGTATTCCTATTTGGGTTTTGATGAGACCGTAATAAATTTATTTTGAAGAACAATTTTTCTTTTTTCTTTTTTTTTCCACGTCAGAAAATTCCACTGTACACGGAATTACATCCATATGCACCTGTTTGTCTCGTTTATCTTGAGAGCAATTGCTGTTTTCACCAAAGATGCTGTTTTGTTTGCCGATGAAACCATGGACCACTGCCTAATGTCAACGGTACTAATCTCCCCCTCTCTCTTTGCTTGATTTAATGTTTAATCCTTGATGTGAAGAAAACATGGAGATTTCTTTACCCTATTCTTTTTTAGTGCCTTAGAACAGAAATCATAAAACGAATAACCTGCACAATAAATGACACAAACCAAAAAACCTGATGGGTCACATTCAGCTGTGTTATATGAGGTTCAGCTCTGTTGACTCTAATAGAGCTGGATCCTTTTCTATCAGTGATGAATTTCACCTAAAAGAGAGAGCCAAAGTCTCCCTTTCAAAAAACTTGAAGTAAAGTCAGCTGAAATGACGGAATCCCAAACCTACTGAAATCCTGTGTTTATTCCTTCATTTTTGTGTGACAACATTGAATTTTGCATACGCTTGTGAAAAACAATACTTAACCCAACTGAAAGGCAATCTAATGCTTTTTCCTTCCTCCACATTTCCAGGTTGCTTGTAAGGCTGCTGTGGCATTTTTTCAATTCAGCATTCTGGCCAACTTCTTCTGGCTTCTTGTAGAAGGGATATACCTGCAAACACTGCTTTTGCTGACCTTTGTTTCTGATAAGCAGTATGTATGGTGGTTCATATTTGCTGGCTGGGGTTAGTACTCTTTTCCTCTCTCTTCTGTTTAATATTTCCATTTACTTTAGAATTAGATACAATGTTTGTTCTGAGGTGATTTCTTTCGATAAAAGGTGCCTATTCATGCAGTAGTAATAATGTAATTCTACCTTTCTTCTTATTGTGTTAAATATTTCAAATTTTTATACTTTGAAGGAGAGGACATAACACATTTCTAGAAGCACAATGCGTCCGCTTCAAAGACTGCAGTATTCGTCTTTATAACTGGGATTAATTTCATGCAACTACAGACATTTAAAAGTCATCTAATCTGAACTCTCTCTCCAAGTTTCTCCTGCAGTCAGGAGTTAGTAGGTATGCCATGGTGGTAATTCATCCAGTTCTGAAATAGATAACTAATGTGGCTGGGTAACCTCCTGGAAGCATCTTTTCTTCCTCCACTGACTAAAGAAGTTCAGATGACTAAGCTGGCATTTTGCTTTTAGCGGTCAGAATTAGATATATTAATCTTAGTTTGAGTGAATTCAGATCTAGGAAGCAACAACTGCAGTTTTTGCAGAGACTTGGCTTTAAAGAATCTTTTGAGTTTATATAGCAATTAAAATTGTCAGAATTGTCCAATTGTCAGAGTATGTGCACATAACAGAAAAATAAAAATTCTTTTACTGCGGAGAATTTTTATTGTGGTGCTAGATGTTATTGTATGTCACCTTGATCATTCTAAATCGGAAGCACTCAACATTAGTGGGTACATGACATTTTTGACTTAGAAGTCAAATCCAAGTTCTTCTGAGATAAACAGGAAGAAAACACCTTGGTTAAGAACGTAGTAGTCCTCATCTCCTTCTGTAGTCAGTGGGGAATGAGAGACATCTCCAGAGCAACTCAGACTTTAGGCAGTGTGGATGTAACTGTTTCTATTCATTAATTAAAAAGGTAGCTTGGCCTGAATATGGCCCCAGCATAGGCACCTCGAAGAAAGACCCAAAACGAGGAAGAAAGGCTTCTGCGTCTTTCCTACAGCTCCTGAATGAAACTTAGGCAGATATTACCTAGATTTCTATTGATTTAGTGGTGAAAATTTGACGTACCTCAGACTAGAGTCCTTTTTTAGGGGGAAGACTTGAAAGTCACTTGGCCTTTGGAAATTCAATTCCAGAAAAGGAGAGCCAAACTTAATTACCTAGTTCATAGGACTATTTTAAAAAATCTTTTAAATAGCTACTTAATCATAAATGCAGAAGGATAATCAGTGACAGAGAGAGACTAGAAATCACCAGTTCCTGGATCTTAGATATTGGGGTCATTAGAACAAATTTTCACAGACTGTTCATCAGCTAACTCATCTACAGTGAATGATATAGATGCTTCAGGACAAAGATAAAATCTCCAGTGTACACAGAGTTGTGTGCTGGCCACAATTCACAGGACAAAATAGCTTTAGTTAAAGAGAAGATTCCTCAAACTTCACAAGTGCTCGTAATTCATAAGCAAACCTTCCAGTAATACTCAGATGTTATTTTTGAAAACATAGTTCCAAAATATCCCCCTATTCTCCCTCATTTTGATTTCATTCTCTGCGAGGGGAGGGGAGAGGGGGTTTTGTCTTTTTTTGTCCTGAACTGAGAGTTAACTTCTTTCATAAAGTCATTGCAAGATTGTCTCGCCTATTGTCTGAACTTTAGTGTGTACTCAATCTGCTGCACTGGGAAGCTTTTTGCAATAAAGTTTCCATGGGACCTGGTAAGCAAAAAAAAATGTTATATTGTGTTCCATGTTGGTTTGTCCAGGAGCTCCCACTCTTGTGATGTCTGCTTGGGTCCTCACAAGAATGCATCACCAAAATACGGGGTAAGTCACAGTTTGGGTAAGGAACCTGAGGGCAACCTATTTTATATTGTATTTTGATTTGTTAACATGGAAGCATTAGAGATTAGCAGAGGACAAGCAAAAACATTTGTCCCTCCAAATTTTTGCCTCTAATCTTTAAATTTTGAAAGAAATTAAATGAGAAAATAACTTTCAGTGTTCTGATTTTGAGGTATATAGAGATAGTACTAAAAGCTATAAATACCACTGTAATTATTGAAATTGTATTTAGTTTCCTAACATCCAAAACTTGAAAAAAATAGATTTTAAGAAAATCACTACTTCTGTTTAAAAACAGCCATAAAACTCTAATCCTAGTCTCTTCAAATTTATACGACCACAACAACCTTGTTATATCTTGGTAAGTAGCTCATTCTTTCAATTCCATTCAGTTCTTTCAGACTTTTATATCTTTTAATACGAGAGCCAGGCATAAAGCAGAAGCTTACTTGCTAAGAGATACTCTAAAGGCTTTCAGATCATTTCATAGGGATGATCAATTGGAAAAGATGCTATTTCCTACCTACCTGCTCAGGTAGGTATGTATGTAGAAGCGGTAAGTCCTGTAGTCCCCCCCATTTGACACATCCTATCTTTCTTTCTTTATATTACTGCACTACATCAGCAGTAGATCAGTTCTCCATTTCAGTGTTTCGTAAGTTCTCACAGGGTTAAAGAAGGGACTGAAGACTTTAGTTTTTGAACTTTGCGTGCTCCTCTAGCAAAGTTCCTACCCATAGCCTACGCATTAGAAGTGGTGTTCTAGTCACACTATAACGTAGAGGTTCTACTAGTTGCTCACAGATAGTTTGAGGCTCCCTAAGATGCCCAAGACATGTGGCTAACAGACATGCATACAGTTCCTGTGGGCTTGTGCCCTTCTGTAGCAGTAGCTGAAGAACAGGTGGCATACACTAGTGTTTAGCCAATGGCTCTTGATGGCTATGTGGGGGCAACCAAACTGAGTCCTAGATGCCTATAGCTGATCTAGTCATCTTGTTCTCCCTTTTTAGTCCATGGAAAGAAATAGACTTTCTTAGGGCTTTATTCTTCTCGTATATTTTAGATGTCCACCTTAGATGAGAGGAAGGATGCCATAGGCTCCTCTGCTGTATTGATCTCCTTCGATTGCAAAGGAAATGTAGCTGAATAGCTCTGACGAAGGCATCTATACGTAGTGACATTGCATATACTTCAATTCACTTGGTTGCACTTCTAATATTATATATGTAAAGAAGCCATAATATCAGCACCACTCATCATCCTAGCCTAGCAAATGGAAAACCCAAGTTCTTCAGCCGGAGCTATTTCGAACTCACACAGCTCATAGGTCAAAGTCACCCTGCAGTCTGACATACTGACATAAGCCACCGTCTGTAAGCTTTATCCTTGTGCCACCAAGCATTCTGTGTCACAAAACTGGAAGAGAAAGTCCAGGAAGAGGGAGCTTGGTATAACCTAGCATGTAAGGCGCTTAACTGGAGGAAGGATAAACTGGAACTTTGTTAGTGTTAAATGCATGAATAGCCTTGATACAAGGACCAAAAGCCCAATTTGCTCTCTCTCTTCATAGTACCTTTACTAGAGGTCTGGACTTCTTTTACCCGTTTACCTTACAACCCACAAATCCTTAAATTCCTGGCTGCACAGTAATTCAATCTCTGATCTGTACCCTGCAAAATAATCACTTTTTCAACAGGAGAGTAGAAAAGAAGCCTGAAAATATAAGTATGTATTTCTTGACTTCACTTTGGTTCCTCAACACTTGCCGCTTGCTGAATAAGCTTCCTTTAAATTGGTCTGTATAGAAACTTTTTGGGAGGTATGGGGATGGGAGTACTGGGAGAAGCCTTTGGATAGTCATTGAAAACTTAATGCTCCATCGCTTTCCTATCCTGAGACAGAAATAGTTTCATATGTTGCAAAAGATCACATGAGATGGATAACTTGACTATTTTTGTTTGGTGTTTCAGATGTTGGGATGATGATGAAAATGGAGTAGTGTTATGGATCATCAAAGGCCCCATTCTGCTAACTGTATTAGTATGTTTTTGCATGTTGTCTTGAGCATCTTTTAAAATCGTAAAGCTAAATTTGTGTGTCTTTCCTGTAAACTGGGACAATGCACTGTCATGTGCTATGTTTGATTTGTTTTGCATTTTAAACAGCTGGGAATTATTGTACAGCATTCCCCTCCCCATCCCTCTTACAGCTTAAATCACAATCTAAAGGGTAAATCAATCGCATATTTTCTAGAGTCATGCTAGGTGGTTATGGAGTCACATTTCTTCCTCCATTCCGCAGATCACAATAGTATCTGTATCTCTGTAAGCCATTTCAGAAAAAAGCTAATCCATACTGGAAAGACTTCTAGATCGTATGAAGCTAATTCAATAGAAGAAATACAAGTAGGTCATTTTATCCAGGACATTTTTAAAATGAGATCTTAGGATGCAAACTTAAGACAAAAATTACCTCTTAGGCACAGATTCATTCCATCTAGGTTTGGGAAGCAAACATTATGTCATTTCAGAGGGTAAATGTTATAATCTCTCTCATAACCAATGATGGGAATGGCAGGGGATATTTGGACGACATTAGATCCTCTAGGTGCTGAAAGCTGAGTACAAGGAGTTAATACCAGACACGAAACAGTACTAAGATATGTAGGCCTATATTCATGGAAAGTAACTTTGAGTAAATGTTTGTATATAACTGCATTTTGATGGCAAAAATAAATAATATTTCAAATGCTATTGATCTAATCTGAGGTCAGATCTTCACTGGCTTACACCAGTGTAATTCCTGTGACTGTGTTTTTTAATATAATTTGTACCAACTGAGGATATGTTCTCATATTGTAGTAGGCTTACAAGTCCTATCTTGTCTTTTCAGATTAACTTTATTATATTTATTAATGTGATCAGAATTCTAGTCCATAAATTGAAATCTCAAGAGGGAGGAGGGCGCCATTCAAGCCACTTTGTGTAAGTATTGCTGGGTGTCTTGATGATGACCCATTTTAGACACTCTAAGAGATGTTTTATGAGCAGGATCACAAAATGTTCTACTCCTTACTAGTGGAAAGGGAAGTTCTCAGAAAAAAAAAACAAAAAACTAAACTTCCCTTTTCATCCTAAATATCACACATCCCTCTTTTTTTCTTGATGGAGGAAGAGGGGGAGGGGAAATCAGAACTCTAATAAAAAGTATTAAGGCTCCAAATGACCCAGCTTAAAAGACTAAATCCTAAATGTATTCAGGCGATGTATCCATCCTTCCTCCAGACCTTTCCAAACAAATGGCCACAAAAAGACAGATACAGACAGTCTACTTCTCTACTTTGAATTCTCAGCTGTAACATGATGCTGCTAGTCTGATAATTGAATCTTGTCCTCAGTGTTTACAATATCTATCATGTTCAATTTTAATGTCATCATGTGACTCATCCTAAGACATCCATGAATGCCTTTTAGTTATGACACAGGACCTACAGGAAACCTGTGCCCTTCTGAAGAGAATGTCCTAGGACACCTTAACTGGTCCTAGCATCCATGTTTGAGCAACTTAATCAAGTCCCTTGCATGGTAATGATTAGATTGCCATTGATATATGTTGAAGTTTAGATACTTACATGGTAGATACCTATACCTGACTGAGGTTAATCTCAGGAGGGCAGATCAGAGAACTTAGCTGGGTGAGACAGACAGCCTTTATATTTTTAGCAGGGAGCAGGAACCTCTGAAGGTCAATCCAGAAAACTTGGAGGCTGATTTGTTCATCTTTGTTCACCAGATGTTGATGGCAGGAGTGGCAGAAAGTAATCTTTCCAGGACTTTTTTGGAAATAGTTGCCCCCATTCTGAAGTTGATCCTCTGTAGTAAAATTTGTTCCAACATATAATTGCTACCACTGATTGCATGTTGCTAACAGTGCCGTGTTATTTTGTTCTTGGTTTTCCAGGAGACTTGCTAAATCCACATTACTCTTGATCCCTCTCTTCGGAGTGCACTATATTGTATTTGCATTTTTCCCAGAAAGCACTGGTCTGGAAGCTCGACTTTATATTGAGCTGGGCTTGGGTTCCTTTCAGGTAAGATGGAACAAAAATTTATCAGTCTTTGGGGGCCTGGACTGAAAAAGCGCATTCTGTAGAGTTTTATATTTCAGACTGGTTATTAGAACAAGTGTTAAAAACAGGTTTAAATTCAACACACACATTCACATTACTCCTTCACAAGGTCTTTCTCTTGTTTATTCTCCTATATTGTTATTATTTATAATCTCATGCTAGTCATAAGTTCTGATTCAGATTTCATATTACTAATCACAAAAGAATACAACATCTACCCATACTGAATAGCAATGACTGGGTGCCTTACATGATGCCATGAAGATAAAGGTACGGATTAAGGTGAACTGATTGAAACTAATTCTGGATAAAAGTGACGATAAGAGGATTGGAGAAATAGTAATAATATATAATAATCGTTCAGCTGTTAGGAGTTCCAAATATTTTTTTTGTTTGTTTCTTTCTCTTATTTTGCTATATCACTGTTCAGAGCAGTATCTCAGATTTGGGAGGGTGAGAGACCATTCACTGTATATGGCACAAATAGCACCAAATAGCTAAGGTCTTTTCCCCTCCCCTTTCCCCTGTATCCTACAGCAGCATATCCATGCTCGTACATGTTGGAAATGATCACTCTTCCCTGCTTACCTCTCAGCCATGACTGGACACTGTTTGGGAAAACATTCATTGGACCCAGCCAAAGCTCTGCCATAGACCATGTTGACATCTTAAGAACATGGAGAATTGTGGGCCGACATTCGGGGCTGTGTCTTGTCCAGTTTACTAATATGTACAATATAGTATGTATACATGTATAGTATACAGTAAACTGTAGTCTAGCACTATTCAATGATTGCCCACAGTTTATGAAATAGTTTGGGTATGGGCTGATTAACCCTCTCCCAAACAATGCTTGACGGTAGTTCTGGATGCAGATGAACCAAAAACCATTGCCAAGAGGTTGTTTGAACATAACCATTCTCTTTTAAATGAAAGAGGACAATTTAGCAGTAAAGATGCGACCCAAGAACAAGTCCTCACCCACTAGACTAGGATAAGGTAGAGGGCACTACCACCTTATCTAAAGAAAAGGATATGGTGAACAGTGAATTAAACCGAAGGGTCTGCATAAGAGGACAAAAGTATAAATACCTAGCCTGTGGGGTTGTTTCATCCACATGTTAAAACCCCCAAAATAGTGCCATGTCACTTAAATCTCACTGGGAAAAAAGCTATATACAAATATACATATAGATACATACATACATATATATATATATATATATATATTTGCATGTACATGTGTGTGTGTATGTGTGTGTATACACACACACCCCCTTATACATACATATACTTTTTGCTGTGCTAGTCAAATTTTGAATGAAAGCTAATATCTTTCCCTGATTCTCTGCTCCAAACCCTGACTGCTGACTTTTTTTCTCCGTACCCTCCCTGGTCCTAGGGCTTTGTTGTCGCTCTCCTATATTGCTTCTCAAATGCAGAGGTGAGTAGCAAGTGTATAAGATTACCCAGACCTTTGAAACTCATGATCTTCCCTCGTTTTTCCTGTGCTTTTTCCTCCCTATTCCAAGAACCTGATCTGTGCTTTGATCTGCTCTTGAAAGCATGAAATACACATATCTCTTTTTTCCCCTCTGTTACCTTTACTGACTTTATCTGTATTCATATAATTCCAATAGGATGACACAAAATAAGCTTTGAAGCAGTGACCCTTTGCAAATGATTGGTGACTTTGTTGTCGGGGGAGATTCTTTCTGCTTTATGTCAGATAGCTATCACGATGATGTCTCAATGGAAATCTTGCACCAGTCTCTACTTTCTCTAGTTCTATTTTCTCCTAGTGAGTTTCTATCCTTTCCTTTTCCCCTTCCTTTTGCCTTTTCCCCTTCCCTTTCCCTTTCCCTTACTTCTCCAAGGCAGCTTGTGTGTTTTCAGTAGTCCTGTTAAACCACTTCCTTTCCTGTTCTTGTGACGTTATTAGAACTCTCAGATAAAGTCCCTATAGTAATTTTAGAGTGCCTACCATTTTAAAAATGAACAGCTTCCCACAGAAAGGAGGAGATTTATTTGGATTTCCTTGTGTAAACATTGTGTAGATTGCCAGAATTTGCTTGCATTTTCCCCAAAAGAGCAGAACTAAACAAAAGCCCAGAGAAAATATAAGAACATAGCTCCATGAGGTGATTCATCTCATGCTTAGAGTAGTGCGTAGGTTAGGTGGGAGGAATGACCCACTGAAGGTGTTTCTCTCTCTCCATTCGCTGTAGCGTGGGCCTAGGTAACCAGCTTAGACCGGGCACCTCTTACAGAGACGCTAAAGATAGACAAGAGGAATCCTACCCAAGGATGAGTGATGGCCAAAATATGTTTGTTACTTAGGAAAACAACTCATAATGGCCATGCTGATACTAATCCAACACCGATGCTGCTCTTAGAGAGTGTTTTCAGGACTAACCATAAATGCAGACTGCTATACAGCCCACCTGCCTTCTGTCTGCATAGATTCCTCACTAACAATTCTTAAATTGCTTACATAACATATCTGGCAGCCTGCTAATCTAGTGGGTGTTAAAAAAGGGACAAGGATCCCTGGCCTCGAGGTCCAGCGGTATGGAATGGCTTATGTCTTTGCTTAAGAATAACTGCTTCTAAAGCAGATTGGCCAGGCCTTGCCACGGGATCTTCCCTGAATCTCATATGGTTCCCTGTAATCTTAAAATATAATAGTTATTTTCTGTGTGTGTTTCTTCAGTTTTAAGTACTCATAACAATGTGAGAGATTGTGCTGCTTGGCAGAAGAGCGGTGTCCGTATGGGATGAAATTGAGGGCTGGTATCCTGCGTCCTGTTTTGTGGAATGACATACATAGCTTTGTTGAAGGATCCTGAGCTCCCTGGAGCACTGGTTTGGTGGAGGAAGCCCCCTTTGTATTTATCAGAGTCCTGAAAGGTCTGGAGATCATGTGCGGTCCGCATCCAAAGTTGCACACAGAGGCTGGCACGTCTGTGTCCCTAATATATTTGATGCTAAAGGCAGAATCAGGGACATCTCCGTAGTAGATATTGCCAGTTGCTTTTAAGGGGCCCTGATACCCAAAATAAATACTTCTGAATGTCCCACCTTCTTTTCTATATGCCAGTCTAGGGAGTCTGCACAGTAGAAGATTAGAGAACAGAATTACTAGATGATGTCCTAAGGTCAGAGTACAGAAATAAGATTTGCCCATTCTAACCCCCTTGCATCACTTAATAGCTTCACTGAATAGTTTATTTCTGCATTTAATTCCAAGTGGATTTGTGCTGATGCTGCTAAATCTGTAACACTGTCATCCATCTTCATTATTAATGCCAACCAGGGAAGATGGTAGCTATGTTGTTATAAGCATTTGCCATATATTCTTTGTTTATGATGGCATCTGCAAGGCTCATAGCAGACATTCAAGACAGTCACGTCCGTTGCTGGAGAAGCAGGCAGAGATGAGGTTGAATGCGAACAGAGGTAACAGGGCACAGTGAGCAATTGTCTAGGGGACCAGACTGCCCCCCTATCCCGTGGGAGGGGAGGAAAGGACTGACTGCTTCCTGCACCTACTTGCACTGCCTTTGCTTTGAGTGCAAAGTGGTTTATATGGGGCAACAGAAGCTATTTTCCCCTAGTCCTCTCACTCCATTTCCAATAGCATTAACAGTGGTCCAATAGCATTAACAGTGGGATGCCCTCCCCATGGTTCTTCATGCTACTCATCTCTTACCCAACCTCTTATGTGTCAGATGGTTAAAAATTGCAGTTTTATCGCTGCTTTTGAGGATCCCTGAGACCGCTTTGAAATGTAATACATATTTAGATGGATTCAGAATCTTTCAGAGTCAGTAAGGGATCTGTAAGAGGGGAATTCAATTTGAATAGGGTGAAAGCCTGGAAAGGGACCTACGAGGATTTATTGTACGTAGCGGGTCACAGCACAGAGGCACAGGAGATTCAATACGAGGAAAGATAAAAATTATACAAAAAAGAGGAAATGTTTATGAAGCAGGTCTGTAGCAATAGAGAAAGAAACTACTATCAATGACCTCCCTTTTGTACTCTGGAAATTAAGTCTATTTGTTTAAGGACATAGCTTAAGTGCTTCTGAAAATGTGTTGAGGCTTAATCCTGACTGATTTAGGTGTCTCCATGCATCTGACCCATGGTAATTTAAATTCAGGCAAACCATTTGGCATCTTTTACCCTCAATATCCTCCAAGTCTCAATTTTCTGATTCTTTGTTTTTAAATTTCTTTTCTGTAGGTTCAAAGTGAGCTCAAGAAACAACTGTGTAAATGGCAGTATCAAGAATACCTTAACTTCACACACAAACATGGGACTTTGTCCAGAGAAAACAGTCCAGTCAACTACGTCACTCAGTTATCACTGCTGGAAAAAATCAGTCCTAAAAGGAAAATATCTGTATATCAGAATGGTGTAACTTCTGTCTGAGCTTATCTAGAAGACTGAGGTCCTGTGATGTTGTGACATACTACCTAACAGAAGGCCAGTCTGGCTTTATGGATTTCCATATTGTCGGTACTTTTCTGAGAATTTCTTGTCCTGAATGTGAGCTGCTTTTCTTACCTTATACGGATCAGTATCACAGCCCTGGTACTTTTCCTCCTTAAGCACACAAAATCCACTTGTTTTGTAATAAAAAGTTGGTATGAATTAATAGGTTAGCACCCCCCAAATCAAAGGAACTACACTCATTCCTCCGAGGCCCACCATATATGTATCATACCTTTGCTAGCGTTTCCCAAAATTCCCGGTTCACACGAGAACTATTCCTAATCTTTGTTTGAAATAGCTGCTTCTAGACACAGTGGCAAAAGTTTGTGACAGTGGTTAGGGATTTTTTTACTAGTTGCTCTGAGACAGCTGATGACAATTTAATGGGAATTGCACATCGAAAAGTGGTAAGCACCTACCTATGGAGCAGCAAGCTCCTTTAAAAGGAGTCTCCAGGTGCCTCAAGAGTGACATAAAAAAGAACGGGTATTATTATCTGCTAGATGATTTTATTCCATATTTGTTGTAATAAAGATTAAATTAGGCAGGAAAACCCCAAGACCTTTCTTATTCGTGGAAAGACTTGGAGTAGTTGGGCATTAGGTGGATTATGTGTGTATGACACAAGAACACACAGCAAACAGCAATATCCCAGCTGGGTTAGCTTGAGCTCAGAATGGCTTACAGAGTTAGTCTTCCCAATGTCCAGGCCCTGGTCCTTGTGTTGCTGGCAAAGACAATCTACCACCATAATCTTGAAGGTCAGCTGGATCAGTCAGTGAAATACACAACTAAACTGTGCTTTTGAGCTCTTTTGGGGCCTCCTTCTGAGGACGGACTAACGTATTTGTGACTGCTCTTATCTCAATTCTGCCCATTTCATTTCAATTTATTATCTCTCAACTGAAAGATGTCTCTGGGGCCAGAATTATCAAGAAAGCAATATGATCTAATAAAGCAGAGTATGAAGCACAGAATGAACCACTTCAGTCCTTGCATCACTTTTCTCGGTGACCTTGCTCTTTCTTCAAGGCTGACCTGGACTCCACATCAAACTCTTCAGAAGCAGGGAAAGGGCATAAAAGGTTCACTAGATACAGCTGTAGTTCCTTTCAAGGTAGGACCATTCCCAGGAGGACCTGCAGGCAGACTTGAAAGTGCCACTAGAGACTGTGGACATTCAAATACAACCATGGGGTTCTGTGAACTGGAATATCCGTCTAGCTTATTTATAAAAAAAAAAAAAAAAAAGAAAAGAAAACTAGTGGTCAAATCCCTCGTTTTGCTGTGCTGTTGGTCAGTTACTTAGGCCAGAAGACACGTGGCTTTGTGGGAACCTCTTCATTCAGATCACTCCTTTATTAATTAAATATTATCCATTCTGTCTTAAATACTCATGTGTCCTCTACAAGGTGTCGTCTTTTCTATTCTGACCACCCTATTAGTTTATCTTGTAAATGTAACCCTCAATCCTACATTAAGTTCTGTTGCCTAGCACAGTGATTTGGATGCGCTCGTATGATGCACACCTATAAAATGCAAATGATAATTACAGCTGCTGTGGCATTGTACTTTTTAATTCTTTATCTTATGCCATTCTGGATGTTTCATTTGAGACTTTATAAAAAAGAAGAGTCCCGTAATTGTGGTTACTATGGATAGGGTCTTGAAGCTAATGAATATATACAGTTATGACCACCTCACCCAAGAAAAGATTTACATTACAGCGCCTTGATCCTGCAGCCTGACTTAATGCCCCACACCCCTTCCAAGTCACCATCACTAAGACGCAGCTCTGTTGTGTCCTGTTGTGCTTGTATCCATTTCTTAGGTAAGGCCATTAATTCCAGTGTTTGACCACCAAATTTTTTCTTGAGGAAATAGCTGTATTATATGCTATTGATTGAGTTTTCTATGTGAAGGAAGTGACTCATATCCCTTATTCTGTCTTTGAAGGGCAACAGAGTTGGAGTGAATTATGGTTCTGCTTGCAGCTGACCTGGGAAGGTTCCTTCCAAAAATTCCTGGCCTGAGGCTTTAGGTTTGGGAAGCTTCTCCTCCTCGTATAATTTCCCCCTTATTTTCTCTCCCACCCAGCTTCATAGTTTATTCGACGTCCGTTGTCTGTAACACACAGATATTCCCACTTCACAGCAGAGGTCCCAGGATGGCCTGCAGTTGACATCATGACCATCTCGCTGCATGTTCCCTCCTTTTATTACTGGGAAGTATTTACTAGATCCTAGGATCTGGTAGTAGGAGAAATGATGGCAAGTAAAGGTGGTGAGTCCAGTTATATCATGAAGGATCTTTCCATCAGTCATTCAGTGTTCAGTTTCCTTAACCAGTTCAACAACCCCAGCTTTCCCACCATTCCTGACAGACCTCAGAACGTAATTTTTGCCTATATACTGTCACCTTAGTAATTTACCTTTCACGAACTCTTGCCAGATATCCCCTCTTGCCTCAAGCTCTTTCCAGTCACCATCACCACTCATCTCACCCAGATCTGACCCAATCCTTCAAATGTTTTCCTGCAGCCTTAGCAACACCCTGCTTGCAACCTTCTCCAGAGTGTCCCTTCATCCCTCCTTATCTTTTCTTCCGGCACTTTCAAGTCCTTTACTTTTCTATCACTTTGGGGTATATGTGCAAGCAATGAGTTAGAACTGAAGATTATATGAGCCCATTCTGCATATATTCAAACCATCAATTGCATAATTTACATGAAGCCCACATTTGGAACAACCTGGTGATGAGGTTAATAATCCTGGGGAGTGCAATAGGTTTTGTTTGGGCTCGGAAAAGACTGCTGATTCCTTCCTAATGACACATTTCAGGACTTGATGGTGTGTGCAGCAGTGGGGAACGTTTCAGGGATATGTTGCTTCACTGCAGGCCTGCGAAGGCAGCAAGGGTGTTGTCATAAATGGAGTCGAGAAACGCTGTTCTGGTCTGTGTGGAGGTACTGCCATCTCGTGGTGCGCGGCGTGTGCCGGGCTCACGGCTGTCCTAACGCACGCAGTCCAGAAATTGGAGGCAGCACACCGAAGCTTTGCCTGCCATTCACGAAGAGTATGCCTAACACCGGATTGAAGATATGCGCTTTCCCAAATGGGATTTAAATGACTACCTAAGCCATTTTTTCTCAAAGAATGTTTGCAACATATATCTTTAAATATAACAGCTAGGAAAAAACATTTTCCTTCAATCCCCCAGAATCTTTTGCACAATCTAAATCTTCAGGTATTCTTTTGAAACCCCTTTACAAACTACATGACAACCTGGAAAGGCCAAAAAACAATGAGTGCAGCTGTTGTTGATGCTGCAGGAAAGACCAGCTCCTAGAAATCACTGAAACTTCTCACTGAGAGGAGATTTTTAACTTTCATTATGTCAGCATTTTTTTTCCTAAAAGCTTAACTGTGTGGTGTACTAGAAGCCCAAATTGGAAGAAATCCCTCCAGCAGGCAGCTTTACCCACTCTGCCAAAGCTGAGCTACCCCAAGATTGCTTAATCTACTCACAGCTGGGTTTCCAGAGAGGTGCAGAGACATAGTAGAACCTATTGAAAAAATAAGGCCTGAAAAACATGAGGTCTGGTTATTGTCATAGAAAAACTGAACTAATTGAGGAGCTGGAGACTGTAAGTGATAAGCACATGGTACTAGGCTATTTATGAGGTTGCTTGTAACCCATCTAACACTGTATGAGAAGGAAATACAAACTGGAGACGATCCAAAGGTGTCATTTAAAAGTGCTTGATACCAACTGAGCACAGGAGGCGAGATGCCTCTGACTAAATGGCAGTGTCTGCAAAGTTTCCATCTGAGCTATTCTCCTTATGATATCTCAGTTCTGAGATAGCTGATATATTGATACAATTGGTGCAGTCTAGGCCTTGGTTCATGTCAACCTCAAGTAGATTTTCATTGCCTTCAAAGGGATTGGAGGGTAACTAAAGCAGCTGCAGATTTTTAAAGCTACGTGAGATGAATCCCATCCTTGCACTTCTCATGTTTGGAATTTCTGCACATGTCAAATGAAGCGATAAAACAGTTAATCAATGTAAGAATATGTGGCATGAGACATTTTCTTCAGGAAAATGAAATGTTGCGATGAGAAATGCCTAGTACAACACTGTGTCTGTAAAGGAAAGGGTGGCGTTCAGCTCACAGGATTGCTAAATTTAGGTATCTGTGTGTCACAGTGCATACATAAGCTGGATATCTAAGCCAGTGGAGGTATAAGCAATAGAGTTAATGGAATCCGTGAGTTGCTCAGGTATCTCTAAAGTAAGCACCTACATTTGGCCATATATAGCTTTCTAAATATCACTGATTTTACTGATCTGGAGTTAGATTCAGTTACATAAATATACATATCTAACGCCATTTCAGATGTCCTGGGTCATCCAAGATACCTACACTGTTGTAGAGGTATGATACAGATTTTTGGACATTTACATCCTTCTGGAAAAGCACCTGAAAGTCAGACAGGACATCCCACAGTGCCTAAAATTACACCAGCTACTTACTTTTAGGAAACCAGTTTTTAGGAGACCAGCCCCTGGTCTGCATTATCTGTAATGGAAGCTTAGATACCTAACCCATACATATATACCTACCTATTCCCTTAGCCTTACTCTGTAAGCTAAATTCTACCCTATATGTAAAATATACTAGAGGGGACCATTGCTTGAATTCTTTGGATTTGGGCTGCCTGGACTACTCAAAGTGTTCACCAAATGACCACTACTAGCACAGCATGATTTTCTTATCACTTACTATACTGCTGCACAAAATGGCTCTTGTGCTGAAATTTTACAGGAAACTCAAGTTTTAAGGGATTGAGGAAGAAATATTCAGTTTCAGAAAATAAAGCGGGATTCAACACCTTTGTGTCTTGATAGGCTCAGCAAATGAGGATTTCCTGCTGTCAGATTCTTGAACGAATGTGCTGTAACGTGGCAGTATTTGTTTTAAAGTATGTATTATTACCAAAGGACTTTTAGAGTGGGCTAAAATACACTTTGGAATTGCCTTTTTTTCTGCCTTTTACCTATAACAAACCTAAGAAAGTAACCTAAGAAAGCCTTACTCAGATTACATATGTAAACTTTAGATGTACAAACTCAGGGGAGACAAATCCCATTCCGGATGCCCATCCACCTGCTTTTCTTTGATCTCCATCATCTTATGTAACTTCCTGTAAGTCACGGGTTAGACATAAGCCCTTTCACAGATTCTCTGTCCCACATTTGCTGAAATCCCTGTTTAATTCAGTGGGGACAGGTGTTAACTCTTCTGTAAGTGGTGAAAAGGGGAGACGCAACCTGCGCTGCATCTTCCAGCGCTCACAGAAAGGGCTGTGACTTGGCTCACCAAGTAAATCCATGCCTATAAGGTAATTAAAATTGTTCAAGGTGTAGTAAAAATGAAAAGCTGTGTAACTACTGGGTGCAATCAGGCCCACCGAGGCAAGGTCCTGAGGGCACTAACAGATCTCCCTGGCCCTGACCAAACCCCTGTGGCATCTGCTCACCCTGCCCAGGCCCTGTCTCAGTCCCACCGTGGTCTTACCTCTGACCAGTCCCAACTCGACTGCGGACAACTGCCAGGTCTCATCACGTTTCGGTTAACCCCGGGGCCCCGTTCATGCCGTAGGAGTGTTGGTCTCCAGCTCAGCCACAGCCAATCATGGACCATCTTGACCCAGACCTCGACATGTGGACTGACTTCCCAGGATGACATCGGAGCTGCCTGGTCTCTGTGGACTTGCCAGATGATCTGGCCTCTGGATTGGGCCTGGCCACCATCTCCAGGGCTGTCCTGGCTGTGTCATTGAGCTTGGCTCTGGGCACCCCATCCCTTAGCAAGCAGCCAAGCCTCGCTGCTCCCTGGCACGTCTCTAACTTCAATTTCGGTATATCTACTGCCCCATCAAAGGACCAGGCCCAAAAGTACCTTTTTAAGTACTTTCTCTGTACCTCAGCTAAGCAAATGATTGAGAAAAGTGATTTAAAGATGTAGCCTCCTTTGTGGAGGAATTAGACATCCGCAGGGGTAAAACAAAGGCTCACAACTAGCTGAGAACAAGAAGCAGGAGAAAAGTACCTCAGAAAGAGTTCATCTACCATGGAGTCCCGTTACAAGAGGGTGAATGCTCCTTTTAAAAATGAACTTGAAAAAGATTTGCTTTGACGAGAAGAGAAATGAAGCCTCAAAACATACCAGATGTGTTATAGATCACTGATTTTCCACCTTTTCCAACTGGCAGTGCCTTTATTTGAGGACAGTAGACTTTCTTTTCTTGTTTAGATCCCTTGGAAATAATACACAATCATCAAAGGAGCTGTGGATCAAAGTTCAGAACCGTTGGTGTTATTAGTTACAAAAGAGAGTGTGCTGTATTTTTATTGGCGATATTAGACTATATTCATCCTCAAACGAACGCAGTGTGCTAAGCACCTTCCTAACATAACTCCACTGATTAAGCGTCAGCAATGATGTG